CTAGCATGAACACAAAAAAGGAATAAAACACCCTTTGAAAATCGTTAAAAACAAATTAGAAAGTAAGATTAAGTGAGACAGAATGGAGCTCTTTGAAGGTTTACATTAAACGAAATCGATTGCAGCAATCCCTTATATAAGAAGTTACAAATTCAGATTGTTAAAAATGTAACTTGATGCAAGATAGGTTGCACTGAATGTTCAAATTTTATAAATCACATGATCACGTCATCGTTCATGTCATTTCACATTATGTCAGTCTGAATACAAGCCAGCCTTGGGGCAAAGGTTTTGATTCTCAAGGCCAAGACTTTGACCCACAAGCTTGAAGTCCACCTGGACCCTGGAGGTCAAGGCCTGCAGTGTAAAGTTACCGGTACTACTGCGTCTATATCCATGTCACATCATATCATGACTTGACTATCGTCGGATTGGCAGTTGTTCTCAATTCCAGCCCATTTGTTATTTTATTACAGTGATATAAAATTGTCGTTTGTCCCGATGCTATGTTACTGTTTAAATATGCAATATACGTGCCGTCGTGTCGTGCCGTTGAATCGTACTATCCCACCGTCGTGTCGCCGCACTTTCGTGTCCGATCGATCCTTGTGTCATGCCATCAGATTGTGCTGTTGCGTTGTGCCGTCGCAACGCAAGTTTGCGTCATGCCGGCGAGTCGTCGTGTCGTACCATTGCAGCGTCGAGTCTTTGTCCTGCTGTCGCCTCAGACCTGTGAAAAACAGACGCACCCTTTACAGATGTATCTTACAGACGTCGCCCGGCCCTGTTCTCACAGACTAATTAAAAATATTTATAGATTGACAATAGAGGGCGCAAGAGCGTAGTCTCTATGGGTGTACTGAACTAATTCAAGCTCCATTGAAAATAGTGTAAAATCAACCAAGTTTGGAGCCCCATGGCAGGCAACTGAAGTCCCTGAGGCCTCTCAAACAAAAATCAATGTGTTGTTTGGTCCTTCAGATTTCATTTAATTTTCAATTTTTAGTAGGTTAATCAATGAATTTTTTAATCATCCGCCCAAAACAAACTCACCCCCCCAAAAAGTGAATGTTGCCAAGACCTCCCAG